AGGCTTTGTGCTGTTTCCATTCACCCTGTGAGAGACTCTCTGGCACTTATTCAAAAGCCAAGAATAGCCTTGTTCAATTGCCCAGTGGAGCCTGCCCTATCAGGGCAAATGAAGCATGGAGCCACCAACCTCAGTCTGCCTCAGCCAGCCCCCACCTGACTGCCTTCTTAAATGCAAGCATCATTATGGCCTCTCCTACGCTGTTAGAAGTCCTCCACAACCTACTACCCCCACTTTCCCTATGGATTTGTCTGATCCTATTTTAACTGTGATCTAACTTCTACCCTCTGCTGCCTTGAAGGTTGCTCCTATCATCTTCTACAATGTCCGGGTCCCTCCTCAGGTTCCCAGAAGGTATGAAGCCTGCACATCATCGCTGTAAGCTGGAGGGGTGTTATCCACAGTGCCAGGAGCGCCTTGGAGAAAAGCATTCACCTGCAAATGACCCCAGATAATAACCAATTTAGAATTCCTTGCAACTGCCAGGGCACCGGTGCTCAGATAACAACCTCGAGATGTGTTCTGTTTACATCTCCCGAGTATCGGATTCATGCAAACAGCCCCATCGAAGGAATGAGCGCCTGTAATCTTGGCTGATTTCTTCAGGAAATCAAGAAGCCTTCACTTTGTTTGGCAGTGGTAGCCTGCCTTCACTGTGAACAATGGCGGAAAGGGAATTGGTATTCAATCGGAGAAATAAAGAAGGGTGGGGAGGGAACGACAATACAGAGAGGAGTAAATGGGGCTGCTAAGAGTGGCTGGTTATTTTTCTTTTCTGTACAGTTTTAAAAGCTTCTATAGACTGCCAGCCCCAGAGGCCACTTGAGTGAAGTGGGGAGAGCCCTGATGGAAGAATTCTGCTTGTGTATGGCTTGAAGTAGTTTCTGCTGGAGTCAATGGAAAGATAGCCACTAGTGCTAATTTCTAAAGAAAATGTTTCCTAACATTCAAGGATCCCAGCGTAGCATGTTCTCTGCCCTGAGGACCTTGACTTTTATTCCTAGATATACAAGGGTTTGTTCGTTTGTCTTATATTATTTATGGCATTTATATCCCACCTTTTTCTCCAAGGAGTTCCATGTCACATACAGTGGTACCTTGGGTTACATACCCTTTAGGTTACATATGCTTCAGGATACAGACTCCGTTAACCCAGAAATAGTGCTTCAGGTTAAGAACTTTGCTTCAGGATGAGAACAGAAATCGTGCTCTGGTGGCGCGGCAGCAGCAGGAGGCCCCATTAGCTAAAGCGGTGCTTCAGGTTAAGAACAGTTTCAGGTTAAGAACGGACCTCCGGAACGAATTAAGTACTTAACCCGAGGTACCACTGTACATGGTAATGCTCCTCCTCATCTAATTGTCACAATTAACTTTGGCTAATTGAGGTAGCTTAGACTGCCAGACAATGATGGACTTAAGCTTCATGGCTGAGTGGAGATTTGAACATTGGTTTCCCAGTTCCTAGTCCAACACTCTAACCATGATACCACACTGGCTCTCTGAGTACCCACACTGGTAGGTCCAGAGTGCTTCTTGACTTCTCAGACCCTAAAACACACACTTTCCCCTAATATATGCATTTTTGTACAGATTATTCAGCTGGAGAACTATATTGCAAAATTCAGAGGTGTGAAAATTTTGAACTATAGCTGTGCTGCAATTCTCAGAGGTTTCCTATTCAGGCACCAACTACACAAACTTAGCTTCAACAGGACCACAACATCATGTGTTCCTAGCATTGTTTCATCATGGTGAGGCACCCCATAAAATAAATGATAAATGACACATCAATTAAAGAGTAAACAATATTCGTAGAAACTCCAATGGGCAGAGGCATCCAAAAACTGTTAAAAACACAGAGGAGAAGGCTTTTCAAAAGACTCCATGTTGGAGTCTGTTGTGCTGGTATGGGGAAGGTGTTCCAAAATGGGGAGCAACCACAGAGAAGACTCTATCCCATGTCACCACCCAATGAACCTTCCCTGGCAGTGGAATGGGGAGAGAAGCCTCCTTTCCTGATCTTAAATCATGGGTTAGTAAGAAAAAAATCATTTTAGAAGGTTTGCATGTGTGTGGTGATTCTTAAAAAGCCTAACAAGCTATATTTCCATTACTCTTAATGAAGAGTGCTGCAAAATTCAAAAACTTTTAGACCCCTTTAGAATCTGGCCAAGCCAAAGAAACACTCACCACAGACTTGATTTTGCCATATTCTAGAACAGTCCACTGATATTGACTGGTTGTCCTTCCCTACCTCCTTGGGATGTTGAAAGGATAAATTCTCTCCAGGCAGCACAGTGTTTAGAGACTGCATGGTCCTAAGGCCACATAAGTGTCTAAGATAGATAGTGGTAGGCGCAAAACTCATTTGGGGTTGCAATTTAGTGCTTATTGACACTGCCTGGGCTGGCACCTTTGGGTAATTTAGTACCACGCTCAAGCACACCAGACCTGCTTTCCCTATTCTCTAAGCAGCCCTTCATCAGGGCAAGGAATGCTCTCTCTGACTACTTCTGTTTCACATCAAACCACTTTGCAGTGCCATTAAATATTTTATGGCTCATTTTTGCTCTGGAGGAGCTTGAGCTTTCTATGGAAGAGAGGATCAGGTAGAGAGGCGACTGAGAGAACGAGAAAGAAAGGGGAACCTGGATAGAGGGCTAAGGAGGTAACAATCAAAGGGAGCAACTCAGAGTCAAAAGAGACATCAATTTGCTTCCATCTGGGGCAGAAGATACCGTCGGATCGATCAATCTGACGGAAGGCTCCCTGTGGCTCTCCAAACGCCAGCCTTATAGAGATTGCTTAGCATTCCCTCTCCCTCTCTTTCCTCAAGTTAAGGTGATAAATCAAGGTGAGTTGCTGTTCCTCCACTCATTTTATGATATACACCCAGACCCCTGGCCTGCAGGACAGAGCATGGAAGATGGATTGGCTGGTTCTCCTGGAGTCCCTGGGAAAGGCGCATGTCATCGTGATGAATATTCCCAAGACATTTTTTTAACTGACTCAGAAGAATGTCCCACAGGCATGGCCAAGGGGGTCAAGGAGAAAGATGGTGAGTGTTGTTGTTATTTTTTCCCTAGACATAAACCAATCTGCTAGGGATCAGGCAGATACTGCAAAGTGTGAGTGTGCTTGGGTGGTTTCTTCTCCAGCTGTTTGAAACAACCAGGATGCTGGAAGCAGTGCTGGCGTAATCACCAACAGTTTCAATATAATAAAGGTAAAGGTACCCCTGCCCGTACGGGCTAGTCTTGACAGACTCTAGGGTTGTGCGCCCATCTCACTCAAGAGGCCGGGGGCCAGCGCTGTCCGGAGACACTTCTGGGTCACGTGGCCAGCGTGACAAAGCTGCATCTGGCGAGTCAGCGCAGCACACGGAAACACCGTTTACCTTCCCGCCAGTAAGCGGTCCCTATTTATCTACTTGCACCCGGGGGTGCTTTCGAACTGCTAGGTTGGCAGGCGCTGGGACCGAACAACGGGAGCGCACCCCGCCGCGGGGATTCGAACCACCGACCTTTCGATCGGCAAGCCCTAGGCGCTGAGGCTTTTACCCACAGCGCCACCCGCGTCCCTTTCAATATAATACTGGATAGTAATTAAAAAGGTAATCAAAACTGTAACTTCCGTCATACCCAGAATGGCCAATAATCAGGGATGATGGGAGTTGGAGTCCAACAACATCTGGAGGGTCAATTACTCCTCACCTGATAGAAAAAGGATGACACTACTGTGCAAGTGTAGCCAACATAGTCACCTCTGGATCTTGAGGACTACAACTCCCATCATCCCTGACCATTGGCTATGCTGGCTGGGGATGAAAAGAATTAGAGTCTGTGATGTCTTGAGGGTACCATGCTGATCCCATGTCGACAGAACTTCCTCTATAAGCAGGCATGCCTTACCCATCCTCTGTCAGTTTTTAAGCAGACCTTAAAGGCTTTTCTGCTTCAGATATTTTAATTAATATGCTAGCACTCTATATTTAAACTGCTGCTGTTTTTAAATCCTGAAATTTAGCTGCTGGATTTTAATACATGTAGCATTTTGGTATTGTTTTCAGCTGCTGCTGGGATAATACTCTGTGATGTTTTAGCATTTAGATTGTGATTTTATGTTACGATTTTATGAATTCTCTGTGTTGGTTTTTTCCCCTAAATGTGGGTCACCAAGCCCTGGAAGTCAGGCAGCTCACAAATGTTGAGATAAATAAGCAGGCTAAACTAAATGAAAAATAATCATAAAAGGATGCAACTGGAAAACTCTTCCTGGTTGAAATTTTGAAACATTTGCCAGTTAGTGTGCATAGGTGAATTTAACAATTTGGGTTTCTCACAATCTCTCTTCTTTTCTTAATTTTTCTAATCTTAAATTCAGCTTGAACTTGTAAATTAGTCAGTATTCTAGTGTGAATTTTTCCTAATACACCCATATTCGTATACAATATTGTCTAATAATTCCCCCCAAAAGGATTTTCTGTTGAAATGATGCATTTTGTGTGTTATTCTCACCAATATATGCATTTTTATGCACACTTTACCCAGTACATGCATTTTTGTACACATTACTTGACTGGAGAACTTAATTGCAAAATTCAGAGAAGTGTGATTTGTTTTGTTTTTTTTGAATTGTTGCTACATTTTTGATCTCACATTCCTTTAGAATGTGCAGTTTAAGTAGGCTTGCCTGTAAATGAGAACCAAATTGAATTTCTGCCACATCCCCACTGGTTAGCAAATTGTAATAAGCCATTTTTTAAAACCCTGGGTACAAAGAGAAAGCACCGCAGAGGGGATTTCTGACATGTTCTTCCAGTTCAGCTATATTTCTGCCAATTGCCCCAGCATTCTTTTTTTGCAATCAGAGCTGTGATAGCTTTGCATGTGCCCCCCACTATCGCAGGGCATTCTGCTGTTTGTTGGTTTCTGGCACCAATCAGAACAATACAGGAGACTTTAAATGACACCTTGATTATCACTCACATTTTCAGACACTGTCCAACAGCAGCAGCTGTCAGCTTTCATCATGCGAGGCCGCGGGTTCTCATCAAAACACTCTGCCGTTCTGGAGAAAGAGAGAGAGACCTCGACGACTTCTCCGTCGATTAGGATTCTTCCTTCTCATCCCTTAAGAGCTTGCTTCCTCCGGGAGACGTCTTAGACCTGCTTGGTATTTATTTTCTCCATCAAGGCAGTAGCTTGGGGGTTTCTTGTTTATTTAGCTATTTACAGGTTTGAAAGAGAGACGAGAGGTTGAGAGGCCCTTGTATTACAGCTGAAACAAATTGGAGAAAAAATTGGTCTCCAGCAAATGCTTCCAGCTCAAATTAGCTGGCAGGCATTTGAATTGATAGCCGGGGTTAGCAGTGTGCAGATTTGGTGTGACTAAAGTGGGAGAGGGTGGGGGATGGATTTTACTCTTTTTTTAAATGGGGGGGGGATCACATCTATAAAGAAAAAAGGGAAAACATGGCCCAGGGGGTGATTGTAGCTCTCCAGAACTCTCCCCAGGCTAGACCTCCAGATGGCTCTGCATTGCGCCCTGAGCATTTTTTCGTGGTTGGAATTGTGACATCCTGTTGCAATGCCTTTTTTTGCTTGGCTGGATGCAGGACAGAGGGAGAGGTATGTCAGTATGTGTAAAAAGTAGCCTGTTGTACGGAGGTAAAACCTTCTCCTCTGGCTTGAACCACTTTCCTCCCTTCTGCTTGACCGTGTTCTTCCAGCAATATATTTCTGTGTGGGAAAGAGTGGTTGAGGGTCAAGCACCCATAGGGCAGAATTCTGAAAGCATGTAGCAAAAAAGAGAGAAAAGAACCCTGAATTAGAGGGAAATCAGCACATGGTTACAGGCTCCACCCATTTCTCCTGAACCCTATCAGTAGGTGTAGAGTGGTTTTGACCTTTCGCCTGCCCCCACTACCCACTGTGTTCCTGATTCAGATTAAAATGAATTGATCGTTTTGCTGCATCATTTCCATTATCGAAAGCTTCCCCCTCTCACATAGGGAGTCAGCCATCTAGCCTTTTGATTTCAGATCTTAATAATGAGTCAGGAAGCATTAAAGTGATTGCACCCTCGTGTGTGTGTGTGTGTGTGTGTTTTAATAAAAGCATGTATTTGCCTAGTATGTTCTCTGTGTGCAACTGTGTACATATCTCTCTGTGTTAAGGGGTTAAGGGTCTCTCTCTCTCTCTCTCTCTCTCTCTCTCTCTCCCTCTCCCCCTCCCTCCCTCCCTCCCTCTGTGTGTGTGTGTATGCTGTTGTGTGTGCAACCAATTACAGTTAATTGGTTATGTCCCTGAGTCTTAAGTGTATCCCTTTGTGTGTGAGTGTAATTATGTTTATGGGCTAAAGCGGCATGGTTGGGTGCATGTCAGGCCTCGACCACTGCTGGGAAATAGTCCCAAAAGTCTTTCCACTGGGGTAATGCAGCTCTTTTGGCTAGAAAGATGTCCCTCATTCCTGATTTAGAGCACTAAAGGTCAAACCCAGCATTGCTAGCTCTCAAAATGCAAAATCATGCAGCAACCAAGATCCAAAATAAGCCCCAATGAGCTTCCAAAACATTCAAACAGCAAAACAGTCCACAAAAACACAACAAGGGGCCAGCTTCACCCTCAAGGTCCCCCCTCAGAATTTTCTAAGCAAGTAGTTCTTCACTTATCATAGAGCAGTCCTCCAGATGTGCTTCCTGAGGGTGGCTGCATCAGCACCACTGATGTGACCCAATATCTAAAACAGGGGTGCCCAAACTTTTTTCAAAGAGGGCCAGATTTGATGAAGTGAACATGCATGAGGGCCGACCAAAGTTGTTGAGCTGTTTAGCTTTTTTCAGGATTTTACCCCAGGACGTATATTGCCACGGGGGTCGGATTAAATCGACCAGTGGTCCGGATTAGACCCCCAAAACGGACTTTGGACATGCCTGATCTAAAAGCTTTCACCTTCTGTACCACAGACACACACTTCTACAAACATGGAGACACAAAGCAGGGACCTCTTCTGGTGATCTTAGGATCTGGAGTAGGTGGGGGAGGTTTTCTAGGAGGTGGTTCCCAATGTCTCCTATCACTTCTCTCCTAGGGAGTGGAAATGCCCTTCTCTTAAAAGCATTCACTCCATTTTCAGGGTCCTGCTCTGGGAAAGTTTTTTTCTGCTTGCCTGCTGCTCAAGATTAGCCATTCCCAGGGATGATTGCCTGGAGCTGCATCAGCCTCCTAAAGGCACAGGCTACTTTCAGCTTGAAGAGTGACTGAGCTGATCATGATGGGGTAGGTGGGAAACATTCCATTAAGGAATGCACCATTGAGGGCAGCACAGGAGATCTGTCAGTGTGGGTGATGGACACAGATCACGGATTGCTCATTTACTGGAGGAGAGGAAGGCGTTGACTGCTTCCTGGGGAGCATATTGCACTGTGACAGAATGAGAAATGAGAGGCCTTCTCCAGGAAAGTACATGCCATGCCAAAGTGTGGGCAAAAACCACCGCTCGGTGCCAAATTAATGCATCCCCCAAAGGCCTCCCAGGCAGATGTTTCTATCTCTTTTGATCTTCCCTATTACCTCCCGCCCAACCCACCTTCTCTCTCCCTCTCTATACTCTTTCAAGAATGAGACCCTGGTCACCTTGTCCTGAATTGCTGGGAACAGCTGTGGCTTGTGGAAACAAATAGAAGCATCTTCATTTTTAAGAGAAATGATGCATTGAGCCAGCCAGCTGCCCCTGCCTCTGTTGCTCCGCCGTACGTGAGCACACAAGTTTTGACAGATGGCACGGCTTTGAGTGACTGCTTCAATTTTTATTCTTTCTTATAATCCACGGCTTGAGTTCCAAATACTTTAAAACCATTACCGGCCCATAGATCACCCCAAAGTGCTAGAGTCCGGTGCGCTTAATAACCCTCTGGAAAGTGCTATCAATCAGTAGAGGGAAAACACCTAGCAGCAAACTGTTTAGTGCCTAAGATACCTGCTTTTGTCAGAGACGGATGGGACTGCAGCACTCTGCAGAGGTTCCTCGATGCCAGTGTTTCTGCTCTCTTCTCTTCAGGGGCTGGAGGCAAACCTATTAGGCCTGCTCTGAACATTCGACCATTTTGAATCTCAGTTGTTGGGGGAGGGAGGGCAAACCTGCCCATTTCAGCTTCTCTTAGTTTCTCAGTTTTTCAATCTTAAGTTCAGTTCTCGTAGCATATAGTCCAGCTGTGGAACTCACTCCCACAGGAGGCAGCAATGGAGAACTGCATTGCAAAATTTAGAGAAGAGTGAATTTAAATGGATGCCTATGTTTCTGTTTGTGTATTGTTTCAGAAAATTCAAGCAGAGTAAGTGCACCATTAAATGTGAGCTGAAAAGAATTTATTCCTCCATCTCTACTCTCAAATCAAGAGCAGCTATGTCAGGAGGATAGACGTAATTCCTTCAAAAATAAATAAATCGTAAGTATATTCACTCACCTCCTCACTTCATTGATGCTGTGGTTTTCTTCTTCTTAGTTAAGGGGGGAATATCAATTAGTAAGGGACCATGTGATAAATGAGCTTATGCTGTGAAATTGTGTAACCGATCAGATTTGTACAACTGATGGGGAGATAAAAGCTTCCAGATAAGCCATCCCACCCAGGGACTCCAGCCAGGGAACACGGATGATATTGCAATGCTATTAGAATTTGACCTCATTTGACCATGTGATGGTGTCAAGGCAGGAAAATGAAAGCCATGGCAGGTGAGCACAAGAGCAGGTAAGGTAAATTCATAGGCAAACCTTTTTAAAGGAAAGTTGAAAGTTGGTTGAAAAGGGGATGTGTCTTCATGAGAAACCACCAAGAATTTATTGCGATTGGAAAAAATAGACATGCAGATTAGCCAATGATTAATTTGACGTTTGTGATTCAGGCTTTGGGAATTTGGGAAACCATAAGCCCTGCCATCACCACCACGTTTGGTTATATGAGGGGGATGAGATGTCTCCCTGGGTTCCTTCCAAGGTAACCTGTGGTCCCTTTCTTCCCTTTGTTCTTAGACTCATTCATACCTTCAGTGTGAAGAAAGAGCCCAAGGTTTGTGCTTCTGACAACTTCTTAGAGGAAGTGTCTTCCTTTGCCTTCCCTTCCTTGCTGAAGTGTCAAAGTGGCATCAGGCCAGATGGAGAACAAGTGAAATCAGCAGCTTGGATTTTAATGTGCTCAACTGATGAAGCACCTAACAGATTGTTTAGGGAAGTGAAATGTTAAGCTAGGTGACCACAGTGGTGACAAACTGTCATTCATTTTAGCCGGGCGAACAGATGCTTTCCATTTCCTCTTTAGCACAGACACCTTGGTACAAAATGAACATTCTGTGTTAGTGTCAAGAGTATGAAGTTCAGGGCTAAGGATGTTAGAAGTCCAAGTTTAACCTGGGCTAGCCGACCAACTGATTCACAGGTGCTATCCTAAGCATGTTTACTCAGGTGTAAGTCCCACTGGGCTCAGTGGCTCTTATTTTTCAGTAAGTGTGCTTACAATTTTAATAATAATAATAATAATAATAATAATAATAATAATAACAACAACAACAACAACAACAACATTTATATATCACTTGATTGTAATAAAACCTCTAAGTGGTTTACAAAACAACAACAACAGGAACATTAAATGCATCAAGGAAGACAGTTAAAAACAGGTATTTAGAAACACTGAACCTAACTGTAATCTAAAAGTGATTAAAACATGTGCCAGCATTTTACATGTCTGGATAGGCTTGCCTAAACAAAAATGTTTGAAGCAGGTGCTGAAAAGAGTTTAGCAGAGGCACCTGACTGATGTCAATAGGCAATGTAAGGATATCAGGGGGTTACTCGAGAGCAATCAGGCAAATGCCTCCCTGGTTGGCTGTAAAGCCTCGTTATCGGTGCCAAAAAACCTTCACCATGCAGAGCGCCACTATTCCGTGGCTCGCTCATTCACTGGCAGAATCTGTGAGTGGGTGGTCCTTAAACCTTCCCTAGCAGAGTAGTTTCTTGACACCCAGTCTGCGCTTCCCCTCTCTGCGCGGAAGCCTACTGCGCAGGGAGGGCGTGAGTAACGGAGGACCTCTCTCCTCCCCACTTTGCTCAGGCAAGGTGTCCTGGCACCGCCTCGCCTCCTCCGAGCCCTGAAGCTCCTCTCCACTGGAGGCGTGGTTACTCTCCTCCGCTGAGGAGGTGCTGCTTCCCACGATCTTTGGGGGCTCTCTGTAATCCATCCGGCTTTTCCCCTCTCATCCCTGAGCCGATGGCAGTTCCCTGACAGGCAAGGAGTTCCAAAGTGTAAATGCTTGCACTGATCTCCTTCATGGTATGCTAACGGAAACCTACATTTTTGTAAAGCAATGCTTTCTAATTCAGTGCATTTTTGATATGTTATTTTCAGCAATACCTTTTTTATTCACACTTTGCCTCCTCACACAACTTTTTCATACATATCTATCATCTCTATTAATTTGAGGGCAAAATTCAGGGAAGTGCAAATTGAAAGGATTATTGCATTTTAGTTCACATATTGGGTTGGAAAGTGTGCAGCAGGTTGTGTTGCCTTTAAATGAAAGTGGAATCAAATTCCTCCCCCTATCCATAACTCTACGTGTGCCCTTTTTTTTGAAAACTAGGATGAGAAGGCCCGAAAAAAAATAGGGAGAGTGCATTCAGATAACCCTGAAATATGACTGCTTAAAGTTCAGCCTGACTGAATCGCCAGATGATGGGCAACCCAATCCACTGTCCTGTTAAGTTGAAATATTAGTGTTGATGGTAATTCAGTCCTATTGATTGGACCGTTGATCACTGTGTTTCCCTTCTTCCTCCTTTGATGTTAACCTGCTCCCTGACTAGATAGATGAACCGCACACCCCACATCCAACAAAGGCCTCCTTTGTAGTGACTTGTTACTCAAGTCCAGCGGCATTCAAGTGATACGAACCTGGATCAATGAGCAAAGCATGAGTAACTTCACAGTAATAACACTTAATTAAGAGCTGTCTGTGCCCAGCAGTAGCTAAGGAGGATTCTGCCGTATCAATCAGTGCTTAAATGTGATGCAGTGTAATCTACTGTCAGGGAGTGTGAAATCTCTCAAGGGTTATTTGAGTTTGTCCAGGTCTCATGGATTGATCTGATGTTCCCACGTGACCACCAATAAACATCACTCCACTTGCCAGCATGCACAGATGACCAAGTGATGAGCTATCCTCTTGAAAACAAAGTTCTATAATGTCACTTTTGCACTACGGCTGAATATTGGATGTCAGAATCAAGTCCCTTGCTTGGAAATTTCCTGCCCTGGTTGTCTCAGTTATACTTGCTATTTGTCAACCGGTCACATCCTGATCAGCAGCTGGTGGGAGTACTTAGCAAACAACCTGGGAGCAGGGGCATAGGAAGGGTGGGGTGGGGGCAGTCCACCTCGGGTGTCATTACTGGGGGGGTGACATTCGGCGTCCCTGAACCGCCTCTGAGGTAGCTTGCAGGCTGTTTCCACCTTCCCTGACCCCAGCAACTATTCCGCCTGGCTGCCTTCAGGTGGTGCAGGGGCTCTGATGCTGAGGTGGGGGCTCCTTTAAACTTCTCCCCTCAAGGGAGAGGTTTAAAGGAGCCCCCAGCCATGAACCCCTCAATGGAAAGTGAGATGGAGCCTGCACCTCCCCAGCTGAGCAGCCCTGATCTAGCTCCTACTCCTGTGCAAGCAGGAGCAGGGTTGGGATTGGTTTAGCACTTCCTTCTTTTAATAATTTCAATGTGTGTGGTGTGTGTGTGTGTGTCAAGCACCGGGTACCACCTGACCTTGCAACACCACTGCCTGGGAGGAGGTTGAAAAATAGTCCTTGTGTGCTCGCTTCGGCAGCACATATACTAAAATTGGAATGATACAGAGAAGATTAGCATGGCCCCTGCGCAAGGATGACACGCAAATTCGTGAAGCGTTCCATATTTTTGTGAGTTGTTAGAATCCAGTACTAAAAACTTGTCAAAAATGTATAAGTACCTGCTGAAATGGAATACACAGGATGAAACGGTTAAATCAGCAATGATTAAGTGGGCTCAGGACATTGGTCATAACATCATGTTTGCTGACTGGGAAAAGTTGTGGACCACCGGGATGAAATTTACGGCATGTAATGCCTTAAGAGAAAATGTTATGAAAATGATTTACAGGTGGTACATGACCCCAGTCAAGCTTGCAAAAATCTATCATTTGCCGGACAATAAGTGTTGGAAATGTAAAGAAAATGAAGGTACATTCTTTCACCTTTGGTGGACATGCCCAAAGATTAAGGCTTTCTGGGAAATGATATATAATGAATTGAAAAAGGTATTTAAATATACCTTCCCGAAGAAACCAGAGGCCTTTCTCTTGGGTATTGTCGACCAGGGGGTGTTAAATAAGGATAAAACTTTTTTTATGTATGCTACAACAGCAGCAAGAATACTCATCGCAAAGTACTGGAAGACACAAGATCTACCCACCTTGGAAGAATGGCAGATGAAGGTGATTGACTACATGGGTCTGGCAGAAATGACAAGCAGAATCCGAAACCAGGGAAGAGAAACAGCGGAAGAAGATTGGAAAAAATTTAAGGACTATTTAAAGAAATATTGTAAAATTAATGAATGTTAAAATGATGTTGGATTAGAAAATAAGTGGTTACTAGCGGTAACGGATAAGCTAAAGAGAATAAGTAAGATTAAATCCAAGTTAAAATAAGGGAAGGATTTGCTGAATAATTGATTAGAAATTGGAATACAGAAAGGGGAAGTACGAGGAAGTCGGGGAAGTAAATTATACGAAAATAAGATTTTGAAATTGTACTTGTTTTTTGTTTGTTGTGTCTATTGTATTGTATTGTTTTGTTTTTGTTGTTATAAAAATTATGGAAACTTTAATAAAAAATTTATAAAAAAGGAAAAAGAAAAATAGTCCTTGCACCAGAAGTCATAAGAGCATAAGAAGAGCCCTGCTGGATCAGGCTAATGGGCCACCTAGTCTTACAGTGACCGACTAGATGCCTGTGGGAAACCAGGAAGCAGGACCTGAGCACAAAGGCACTCTCCCCATCTCTGGTTTCCAGCAACTGGCATTCAGGAGCATTGCTTTCTCTGAAGTCCAAGTCTTTCAAGTGCAATGGCTGCCAGTTGAGGTCTCCAGACTGTTCTTTCTTTTTCAGATTTACCTTTTCTAATAGCATAATTTATAGCCAAAAGTATAACACATATTAAAAATACAACAAAGAAGTGGAATATAAAAAGGGACATGGAAGACAGAGAGGGCAAAAAGAGCAGAGCAAAACAAGAGGAGAATGTATGGGGAGAAGAAAGCTAGCAATCAAGGAGGTAGTCTACCAATGACTATTAGCCATTATAGATATATTCTACCACTGCAATCAGAGTCAGGAATGCTTCTGAATATCAGTTGCTGGAAATCTCAGAAGGGGAGAGGGCTCTTGTGCTGAAGTCTTTTTGCAGGCTTCCTACAGGGCAGTTGGTTGGCTCCTATAAGAACAGGACACTGGACTAGATGGACTATTGGTCTGACCCAGCAGGCTTTTCTTATGTTCTTATATATTACATATATGCATATATAATATACTGCATTGCAAAATTCTCAGAAGTGCAAATGTCAAAGTTTATGATCTTTTCTGGAAAGTGTGAACTGGATATGTTTGCATTTAAAATGTGAGCCAGACTGAATTTCTCTCCCACCCCTATCTAGACATGGTGACTTCATTGCTGTTCTGGAGAAAAAAGTGGGAGTGCTGCCCTCTCTTCTGTCCACCCTTGTTCACTACAATTCTGTTACCACGTTGGGGTGTGAATCTGTATTCTAGGGGATGTCTGGTTTTGATGAATATATCGACAATACATGCTCATGTGAATGACCAATAGGACATTCTTGACCTACAAGTATGCTTTGTATTTTGCTTGAGGCAAAAAAACTAAGGGCAGCAAGAGATCCATGGAAATGGAGGCTGATCCAAGTGGGCAAAAGGGTCACTACCAACCTCAATCAGCCCCCAGGCAGTCCCCGCTTCTGTACATCCAGTCCAGGGGAGGCACTGGGTCCCATTGGAGAAAATGCTTTATGACATCCTCCCCAGCCTGGTTTTGTCCAGTTATTGTTGGACTGGAATCACCAAAGGTTGCCCCATTAGGATGAATAGGACACTGCCCCACCAACCTCAATTTGCCCTCAGCCAGTCTCCACTTGCCTGCCTTCTTTTTTACAACATGTCTAGAAGGTGCTCTTCCTGTCATCTTCCTCCTCCTTAATCTCAGTGTTGCCCTTGTAGAACTCGGTAAGGAGGGAGATGGGGACAAAACTTGAATTAGTGGCTTTACCTGTCATTGGCTCTGACACCACCTATTGTTGGCCTCTCTGCTTTCCACACTACTGAGTCTTAATGAGCACCAGGCACCCTTGATCCATGAGAACCCCTTGAGGTCTTCCTTCTATTCT